ATCAGGGCCCCGAAATTTAAAGAACCAATCCAGAAGTGGGCATCTGAGATGCACATACACTTCTCAGAGGATGAAATTAAAGAAGCAAATAAATATATGAAAAAATGTTCCACATCACTAACTGTCCGTGAAATGCAAATTAAAACAGCACTGAGATACCATACCATCTCACCCCAGAAAGAATGGCTATCATAAAGAAATCAACCAACAACAAATGTTGGAGAGGCTATGGGGAAAGTGGAACCCTTCTCCACTGCTGGTGGGAATGTAGACTGGTGCAACCATTATGGAAATCAGTGTGGAGACTCCTTAGAAAACTAGGACTGGAAATCCCATTCAAGCCTGCTATCCCCCTACTGGGAATTTTCCCTGAGGAACTGAAAACGTCATATCATAGTGATAAGTATGTACCTATGTTTATAGCAGCACAATTTGTGATAGCTAAATCTTGGAAAAAACCAAGATGCCCATCACATGAGGAATGGTTGAAAAAGATGTGAATTTTTTTATACAATGGAGTATTACTCAGCTGTAAAGAATGATAAACTCGAAGCCTTCATATTTAAGTGGATGCCACTTGAAGATATAAGCGAAATAAACCGAACCCACATGTGTAAACATCGTGTAGTCTCTCTAGTATAAGAACTCAAAAGAAATATAAATAGAAAGGTATAACACAATTAAAAGGAAAACTAAAACTTGAGGATTGGACAATGAGAGGGCAAGGAGAAAAGCTGGGAAACAGGACAGGAACAAAGCCATACATTTATACGCACAAGATGGGCAAGGTAATGGTCCTGAGAAACATTAGCAGGTTTTTGAAACTAGCAGTTAATTGGTAGGATTCTCACGCTGACTATACATGTTGATACCTGTGAACCAAGCAACTGCACTGAAGATAGCAATGTGTAATAGAAGGGTCGCCTTGGAATGCCTGTCATTCTGGTCTTCTAAATATGTACTCCTTGTCATGATATACCAATTATTACCATACTGTCTCACAAGTAAAGTTTTTTTAATGGGTAATAAAAAAAAGACACAAGAAGAAGAAAAAAAAATGTCACAGGACTGTCCTGCTACAATGCTGTATATGGTTAGATTTCTGAATTTCTGTGTAAATACGTAGTTGTTTATTCATATTCTTTAAATATTTTTTCATTTTTTTTAATTTTTATCTCCATATTCTGTAGGGACTTAAAGTTTAACATATCAATACTTGATGGAAAATACCTGTTCCATGTTATGCCTAAGATGTTTGATATTCAGACAGATAGTGAAGTTAAACCCAACTGCATATGTTGTAAGGTAATAATAAGCTTCTCTTCTGGAGGGTTAACCACCTACATTTGCAAACCAAAAATTACAGAAATAAAAGGGGGGCTACAAGGACAGCCAACATTTTGACCATAGCCTTTCAAGGTCAGTGAAGACTCAGGACATAGGAGAACCTATACTGTAACATCATATAACTCAATTGTGTCCCAAATTTTCTGATCAAGGAGATTATGGGGCCACAGAGCAACATTATCGATGACGTAGAGTTTGTCTAAGGAGAGTCACCTGGAGAGAAAACATTCTCTCAGGCTTTCACAGAGAGCAAATTGGTCAAGCAATGGCCCTGACTCATGCACATGGCTGACACTGACAAAGCATCTGCAACCTGCGGTACAGGGTTACAGGATAAATCCTGAGGGTACTTGATTGACCTTATCAGATACAAAAGTTACATTTCTTTTTATATAGGTCTTGTTTCATCTTGGTCTTAACTATCTAGCAGAAAAGTATAAAAACGAGGTCTATAAAGTAAAGCCATATTAATATGCTGAGCTATGAAAGACTGTAGTTAACAACTTCTGTGGACAGCCCACTGTTACTGTGGACTGCTGGACTGTGTTGGATTGTTTTGCTGAATTCACGTGCCTATAGTATTTAGATGCCAATGGAATACCCACCTCTGACAGGACTAAACAAAAAAAGGAGATACAAAGGAAGGACCATTTTGTATCTGCATATGCAGAATAATACAGCTACTTTCACTTAATTCAATGAGAAGAAAGATTTGTACTAATAGTGTTTGAACAGGATATCCTGTCTGCATCTTGTACTATGGATAACCACTAAGAAGATAACAATGTACAATGTATTAATTGTTGAAACTGTCCAATTAATCAGTAAAAAAATAAAATTTGTGAGCACAAGCTATGATGTGCTCTCTGGACAAAAAAAAAAAAATGGAACAGTGTCAAGCACCCATGTATAACTGGAGTCTCTAAGAAAAGGAGTTTGGGAGGCCAGGGAGATGGCTCAGTGGAATAAGCGCTTCCCTGGCAAGCGCAAGGGCCTGAGTTCAATCCCCAGTTCTGCAAAAAAAGAAAAGGTGTTTGGAACAGGCCAGAAAAAAATTTATGAAGAAGCAAAATGGCCCAGCTGTCATAAGCAGGAAAGCAAGCAGAGGGAAAAGGCGTGTAGCGAAACAAAGAATGAAACAGATTTATTGCTACTAAATATGGAAGCCAGAAATAATGGAATGAGATCTCTCTTCTCTTCTCTTCTCTTCTTCTTTTTCTTTTTCTTTTTCTTTTTGAGACACTGTTTCACTATGCAATTCAGATTGGCCTTGAACTCAGTTTGTAGTACAGGCTTGCCTCAACTTTTACAGCGATTCTCCTACCTCAGCCTACTAAGTACTGGAAATATAGGTGTGCACCTAGCCAAATCTTTCAAATAGTGAAAGGAAAAAACTCAGTTGTCAGCCTGAAATTTCATATTATGCAAGAATATTCTTCAAGGGCTGGTGAGATGGCTCAGTGGTCTAAAGCACCTACTTAGAACAAAGTTAGTGGGCCAGGGAGATGGCTCAGTGGAATAAGCGCATCCCTGGCAAGCGCAAGGGTCTGAGTTCAATCCCCAGTTCCGCCAAAAAAAAAAAACAAAAACAAAAAGAACAAGAACATGGGGCTAGGGAGATGGCTCAGTGGAATAAGCACTTCCCTGGCAAGTGCAGGGGCCTGAGTTCAATCCCCGGTTCTGAAAAAAAAGAAAAAGAACAAGCTTAGTAAAGCACAGGGACCGCGGTTCAATCCCCCAACACCACATGCCAGCCAGCCCTGCCCCCGCTGAGCTGGACACACACACACACACACACACACACACACACACACGCGCGCGCGCGCATTTTAAAAAAAAAATTAAAAAAAAAAAAAAAAGAATATTCTTCAAGGGGGAACTACCCGTTCGGGCCCTCCTCCTGTCCCTCTCTTGGACAAGAGCTTTCTTTCTCTCAATAAATATATTCTCATAAAAAAAAGAATATTCTTCAAAAAATAAAGACAAATTAAACACATTTCCAGACAAAAACAAGATAATTTGTCCTCAGCAGATGTACAGTACAAGAAAAATGTTCCAGGCGGAGTAATAAGCCAACAGTGGAAACATAATGAAATACTGAAGAATACTTTGTTGGTCCAAAAGAAAATAAAAACAAAAGAACAGACACTGTAGGAAGCAAATAAAATAGCTAGCAAGATGATGGATACACTTACCTGGCAGGGGAGATACTGTGATCACTGAAGTGATTTTCCCAGGGCAAGCTTGTCCCTTGCACTCCTGATGTGCTGACCCGTGTGATTTCCCCGAGCATGGGAAATTTGGCTGCATAATTTGTGGTAGCGCGGGACTTCATCCGCGCTGTCCCCTAAATTTAAAAAAAATAAGTAAATAGAGATGATAGCTATAAGCCAAGCCATACCAATAATTCAGTATAAATAGATATATATATATATATATATATATATATGCACATATACATATATATACACACACACATATATCTAAAGACAATAATTAAAAAGCAGAGATTATCAGGTAGGATTTCTTTAAAGGCAGACAATCTGTATGGTGTTTATAAACTTCAAATATAAAGACATGGATAAATTTTTTTTTTAAATTAGGAAAATAAAACACCATCTTGTTGCCGGGCATAGTGGCACACACCTGTAATCCCAGCACTCAGGAGCCTGAGGCAGGAGAATTACCATGAGTGTGAGTCCAGCCTGGGCTACATAGCAAGATCCTGTCTCAAAAAAATAAAAGAAATAAAGAGGCACAAATTACCCGTATCAGAAATGAAAGAAAAGCCATCATTATAGATCCTGTAGGAAATGAAATGAAAATATACTTTTTATTCCAGTTAATTTGTTGGCTTAGGTGAAATGGGCAATTCCTTGAAAGTAGCAAATTTTCAAAATTGACTTTAGAAGATAGAGAAAATCTCATTATGGGCAGGCCAAATAGCTCAGCAGATTAAAGCGCCTGCAAGCAAGCACAGGGGCGCAGGATTCAATCCCGGGGCCTGCCAGGCCGGCCCTGCCCCCTGGGCACACTGAGACTATTGAAACTGGGTGTGGCAGTGTGCACCTGTAATCCCAGATCTTGGGAGGCTGTAAACAGGCAGATCACTATGAGTCCGATCTAGTAGTGAGACCCTGAACACCTGTAGACCCTTCCCTAAAATACAAAAAAGAAAAAAAGAAAATCTCATTAGCCTAATATCTCTTTAAAAAATTGAATTTGTAATTAAAAGCTTCAACCCAAATTCAAGTTCAGATGGCTTCACCTGATCAATTCTATTGAACAGTTAATGAAGGATTAGTACTAGCCCTCAAATGGGTAAAGCATTTGAACTGACACTTCACAGAAGTAAATAGCAAAATACTTACGGTGCTAAAGAAATATGTGGTGCTAAACACTGACTGTCCCAGAGTGCTTAGGCAAGCGGATCTCAAGTTGCAGGCCGGCCTGGGCTCCATAGGGAGCTTAAGGCCAGGCTGGACTCCCGTCATGGGATGCTGTCCAAGAGAGGGGAGTTGAGATTGGCAGTAAACATATAAAATACCTGAACGTTATTATTCATCAGCAAAATTATATTTACAAAGTAAAACCATAATGAGATACTACTCTATACCTGTTACAATAGCTAAACATAAAAATCTAATAGCTGATTTTAAATGTAAATTAAATTTGAATTTAATAACTAATTTAGTTGGACAATAACAAGAGTTAGAGAGATATGAAACAAGTTGAACTCATACATTACTGATAGGAATGTGAAATGATGTAGCCATTCCAGAAAAGTTTGACAGTGTATTATAAAGTTCGACAAGTATTTACTATATAATCTAGCAAGTGTACTCCTAAATTTTTGCTCAAGGTGCACGAAAACATCTTCCCAAGCATGGTTGCACACATCTGTAATCCTAGTACTTGGGAGACTGAAGTAGGAGGATCATCATAAGGTCAAAGCCAGGGGCCGGGGAGATGGCTCAGTGGTATAAGCGCTTCCCTGGCAAGTGCAAGGGCCTGAGTTCAATCCCCGGTTCCGCAAAAAAAAAAGAAAAAGAGAAAAGAAAGAAACAAATTCAGAGCCATCCTGAACTAAAAATTGTAAATATCTTGAAGGTCTACCAGTAGATAAATAAATAAATGTATTATGGTATTATATATAATGGAATAATATGCAAAAGCAGCAAACTACACATACATGCAACAATATGGGTGAATATCTTAAGTGTTACCCTGAAAAGTATGTACTATAGAATTCGCTATATAAAAGCTCTACGAAAGGCAAATGTAATCTAGTGACAAAAGTAGATCAGTAGTTGCTGTCTTAGTTACTTTTCTCTTGGCTGAGACAAAAATACCTGCCACCCAGAAGTAAAGAGGAAAAGTTTATTTAGTTCACAGTTTATAGAGGTTTCGAAGGGGTGCCGTGGAGATAGCTCAGCGGTCTAAGCATCTGCCTGCAAGTGCAAGGACTCCAGTTCAATCCCTAGTGCTGCAAGCTGTGCCAGCTCTGGAACCCCACACTTTGCCTGCCAGCCACCGAAACCAGGAGTGGTGGCACACACCCGTAACCCCAGTGCTGGGAAGGCTGAGGGAGGAGGATCACTAAGTCTGAGCTGTGTAGCAAGATGCTGTACCAAAGAAATAAAAGATTAAAAGAGGCTTTATTCAGTCTGTAATAGGGTGGCTCAGAAGCAGTTTAGCATGACAGACACACATCACAGAAGAGAAAGTTTGTGGCAGGCAGAAGGTAGTAAAGGAGAAAGGGACAAGACAAGCCTCTTTCTGTCCCTAATATTGAATCCAGGCTATCAGGATTAGGGCAGTGCCAATCCAATCAGTGGACTGATTTAGTTATCACCACCCTTAATCCCAGCATTACACACTCTACATTTAGCCACTCCTGAAAAAGCCCCACCTATGACCACATGAGACTTTGTGGCGAATCTAGACCCAAATTAATAGCAGATGCCTAGAACTAGGGTGGATCCTGAGCTTGCAGACAGGTATAGGGCAGTGGTTGGGAGCCCATGGCACACGTGGTTTTTATTTTTAAGACAGCTCAGATTTGTAGTGATCCTCCTGTTTTAGCCTCCCAGCACTGAGATTATGGGCGTGTGCCACAACATCTGTGTACCCAAGGCAGGGCTGGCATAGCATGTGGCGCTGGGGATTGAATCTGGTCCTTGTGCTATCTCTGTGACTCCAATTTTTAAGACAAAAGATGTTAATTATGAGTTGTTTATTCTAAAAACCTCAGGATTCAGGTTTCCTTGCAGTGTTGGCGCTTTGGGGTAAATAAGTGGGTTTGGGGTTGCAGTTTGGGCGCTCATCTCCTTTAACGTTTACCGCTGCCGGTGTAGGGAAGGGTTTGGGTTGATAGCCCTGACGGAGCAGCTCACGTGGAACGTACGGCTTCTGGAGCAGAGTATAGCTTGTTTTGAGTAAGACTTGGAAACGTGTGTCCAAGTCAGCACCAAGGAGAGAGGGCATTTTATTGCAACAGCTGAAAACTTGGCCACGTAATGTGTTAATAAAGAGAATTAGGGAATGAGTCTGTTCACATGTCCACCAAGGACTGCAGGGGTGTGTAACTAGTGGGACCCTGTGAAAAATTACGTAGCTGTGTTAACTTGCTTAGTGACTAAACATTTCCATCTCTTTAAACTGAATACAAGATGGTTTAGAACTAATCCTCTATGGTATTTTATAAATCCACATTGAACAGACCTATTTTATTTATTGGTTGGTTTGTTGTTGTTATCAACAAAGTAATTTTATATTTATTCTATGTGACCAGGTGTCTTAGGTCCTTTCTCTGGATATCTTGAAGTATTAAAGTGATTGTAAATGGAAAAAGGCCACTAAGGGGACTGCTATTCTCAGGGCTTTGAACCAGTTGGGATAATGCAAAAAGAGAAAAAGTTGGGGAAGACACAGCAGGAGCTGCGCTGCCAGCTAAGTGAGGTCATCTGACTTGGCTGGACAACCTTCTGCCAGAGCACCTGATCCCTCCTGGAAAAGACAGCAGCTGGCTCCATACGCCTTCTCAGTAAAGGCTAGGACGGGTACAGGACTCTCTCGTGCCCACGGTGGGTGGGGAGCAGTGAACGGGGTTCGTGGGCTCTCGGGCAGCTGAGCGATGGGCGGTGACCTGCGGCTGCCACTTCAGACTGTGTGGGGTGCAGGATAGCACGGTGGAGACACCAAGGCCGTGGACGCAAGGAGGCCCGCCGGAAAGCCATCTTGACAGCGCGTGCACCTGTTCTCGTGCTGGCTCGGAGCCTCGCTGTGAGGGACCACTTCACCCTCTCGGAAGGTGCTTGAGGAGCCTCTGAATGAAGTAAGCAAGTGACCCCACAGGAAGCCTTCTGAAGACTTGGAGCCGTTCTGGTGAACACACAGCTGTAGCCTAGGAGAGGGGCAGGATCAAGCATGTCGCAGTGGTAGTGCTGCTCCTTGCCTGCATCACGCAGTCGCGTGGTCAGCTGAGCTGCAGGAGGAACCAGCAGTTGTTGGGAAAAGCACTGCCTGCAGGTCCATTTAGCCTCCTGGGGATCGAACTTGGGACCTTGTATTTGCCAGGAATGCACTTAGGCCGCAGGGCTATATCCCTAGTCCCATAAATGCTTTTTGCATAAATGAAGTTAGCAGTATTGTTTTTATAATCTGAGTTAGGATTACTGATTCAGTTAGTATTTGACCAATTACTCATGTGTATAGTGGCATTAGCATTTCATTTTATAGATTTTTATATGTTTAAATGTACAGCTTTGTTAAGTGGTTTTCTATTTAATGCATTTCATTAATCTAATCTACTTATTAAATCTGATTGCACAGTATCTGAGTACTGATTAAACAAAAGGTACATTTTCAAATAATTTGTAATTAATGTAAATGCTGTACTTATTTTAATTCAGAGTATAGTTCTCTTGTTTTCTGAAACAGTGCATCAAAAGTACAGATACTGATATTATTTGAATTTAAACAGAGTTTGCCAAGTATATTCCTTCTTAAAGTATATGGCAGTAATGTTTGGCTATTTCATGGAATTTGAGCAGGTTGGTTTTATAAACACAATGTTTGTGCTCGCTTCGGCAGCACATATACTAAAATTGGAATGATACAGAGAAGATTAGCATGGCCCCTGCGCAAGGATGACACACGAATTCGTGAAGCGTTCCATATTTTTGACAGAGGGGTGTAAACCATGCAGTAGGAGGAAGAGGAGGGATAAATAGAGGAAATATTAATTAAATGGTCTGTAAACTATGATAAGTTGTGAATAAGATTGTCAGATCTGTTTTAGTGTAATAATTATCAAGTTCAAAACATTTTTGTATTTAAATTGGTATG